GATTGTTTAAGGCCTCTATAGACGACGGTAGGATTTTGAAGTACAACACCAATTAAAACTTGTACAAGTAAATCTTAATGTGTGAAGGCTATTATATGTATTTCTTGCATTCGTACACCTTAATACCAGATTTACAGGATAGGACATGTCCTATCTGTTAATTCTAGTTCTCGCATACACGCAAGCATCTTGTCGTTGTTATTGATCATATGATTGGTATTTCGGCATCACCTGTGTTTATGTTTTTCTCTGGTTAGTGCTTCATCATCTTTTAGTGGTCTGGTGTTAGTATTGGCATCTTTGTCATCGTCTATTGATATGTTATTGTATGGTATTGAATAACTACTGATGTGTTGTCGTAGATAATAATCATGCAGACTGTCCAATCAAAAATGACATCTTTTAGTCTGCTGTTTTCATCGGTTATGTCGTAATGTGTTATTAATGTGGTCGTTTGGCTTTCATTAGCATTGGTTCTTAATTTTTCGTTGTAGTGAAGTGAATATTGAATTTAAAACTTTGTCTTTTCTTCCAGATTCATGATTAGTATTTGTCTTTGAACAGAACGTATTTTCTTTCATTGTGTCCGATGTCATTGATTGTCTCCCGTTCATTGTTGGCCATTTTATTCAAGTTTACTAATTCTTGGCCAGCAGACACAGTCTATTCGCGTTTGAAAATTTTCTTCCATGACTTTCTCTTGCTTTGGTTTTTTTCGGATATTCTTCATTTCTGGGCATTTTGGAGCATCGCCTCTTCATGACAGTAGTGACAAATTAATGTTTAAATTATCTTAGGCTGATACCCCTTTTTACATCTTTTTACTTCCTGTAAGTATGGTCATATTAAGTGGATCTTTTTTCTGCAGAGATTAAGTTCACTTGCAAATTTGGAAAACCAGTCTTCTGTTACAAATCTTTTGCGCTGTTTTCTTATTGAAAATTGTTGGTTATCATATGTTGGGGATGAAGCATGATTTATTATTCTAAAACTGTCTTTACTTACTTGATGATGAAAAATGATACATATTGCTTCTGAAATGCTTCTTGAGGTTTTTATTGATATTCATACGCCATTTGCTGATCTGGGAATCCTTTCAGAAGGTGTGTGTTGGTGCCAGCATTGGTTTGAAGGGTTCTGGAAAGCAGTTTCATTTAGCAACTGACTATAGTACTAAGATTATTTTAGGTTTGACAATATTCAATATATGTTCTACATTCTTCATTTTTCTTCAATTTGAAGCCAATATACGACAGAAATTTGAAGAAAGATTTGCTTGGCAATTGTCGTGCCATTTAAAATAAAATGTTTAGAATTAGTATTATAGATACAGGTCAATAGTTCTGGTTATACACACTATATTGCCGAAAATGTGTGTTTAGAAAATTTGAACCGTCGAATGCTGAAAATTCAGTCGCATTAGTTGGTTATGACTGCGCACTTTATAAATCAACACGTAAACAAATAATCTGGGGCAATAGATTCATTAAAATTAAAAACCAATGTTTGTTTTTTAAAACATGTATTAAATCGAATACATATTTTTTAAATGATTTACTTAATGATCAATGTGAAATAGATAAAAACATTATCTTAAATAAGCTAGTAGATAAACGCAACTGCGTCGTTGAATTAAACTTGCTCTTTAAGGCTATACCCCTAGCCTGGAAACAAACTATGAAAACGTTTCACTCTTCGCAAACAAAAATAAAAATAGAAAAACGTCTTAAGATAAATAACAGACCTTTTGAATTGATGGATTCAAAAACAATATATCAAACATTAGTAAACAAAATATTCATTAAACCCGCTACACATTCGTATTGGTCAAATAAATATGAGAGAAAACTGAACTGGATTGATATATATAAATTCATTACAAGAATTCCTGATAATCAGTATAAACAATTCAAATTTAGAGTAATTAACATGATCTTTTCAAGCAAAGAAACGCGCTATAAATGGAAAATGGTATCGTCTCCACTCTGTAATAATTGCAATAAAATAGAAGATTATCAACATCTTTTTATCGATTGTATGGCACTTAATTATTTTAAGAGAAAATTATATATATTTTTCAAGAGTGCGGAATTCAAAGAAATATACGTAAACTAGACATCCTTATTTTCGATTATAAAATATCTCATGAAAAATACTTTTACATAAATGTTATACTCACCATTGTAGGTTTTAGTATTTATAAAGCTTACTTTTGTAGTAATAATTGGTCAAATGAATTTAACATATCAAAACTGTTTAAAACAGAATTCAAAATAATGTATCAATAATATAAATACAAGAAGACAAAAGTTAATTTTTTTGACAAAATACTCCAACTTTTAAAATATATATACAAACCTCTATAGATTCAAGTTTTTTTTCACTTTGTGTGTTTATGTACGTTGTTACTCTAATACATATGAATATCTCATATTGAATTTGTTATATTATGTCATTGTATATATGTATAGTTATGTATAATATTTGTGAATAAAAATAATAAAAAAATAAATCAACACGTTTGGTTGCCATTTATCTCTGCACATGAATTATCTGAACTGTTTGTGTGTATTTGAAGTTACTTTCCTGGGTGTCCAACAACACCGTGCATAAGATAGGACGCATTATGAACCTCTTGAGAAAAGCATGAAACTTGCCATATTTGTTGGTTGATATAAGACATTTCATTTAAGCCTGGGATCTGGCTTGTCCGAATTTAATATAGCTGCCATATTAAGTTTTTCAGAATATTATAGATTTTAGTTGTAGACATGGCACCAATTTATTATTTTACAGAGTTCATAATATATACAAAACAACCCCACTTCTGACATCATTGTTGTAATGTTAAAATATAAGTGTTTCTAAAAAAAGGTAAGCCTATTTACTTATTCATGGAATGTTCTTAAATAGATTACTCAGGAGTTGTAGCTAATCTTTAGGTTTTTTTATTATGGAAGAAAAATTAAGCGTCATGATGACACCGCCCTTTGAATTCAAAGGAAAACACAACTCAAATGAAATGAAATGAAAATAACCACGGCTTTATTAAACTAACTTTTAATTATACTTAACTTGAAAATATACTATGCTCGTATTTTGGTAAAACACATTTATTGTAGAGAAATATATTAAAAGCTAGTAAATTCTTCCTAAATATGTCTAATGTGAATAAGTGAATGTGTAAACTATGTTTGGTAAGCTGCATCCCTATCTATTGTTAATTTAATTCATTCATTTTTTATAAAAACTGACAGGTTTTTTTTAATGACACTATGTTTAAATGTATTGTGAAGAGTTGAAAATGTAACATTTTCTCTGTATGCACGTAGTCAAAAGATGTTTATTTCACATTTAAAAATAGATTTTAAAGTAAATATCAGTTTTATTCACATATCAAATTTGATCATAATATATCCTTAAAGTTACTTAAAGGTAAACAAGTTTACATTATGTACTTCAATATAAACTGTTCTTATATTATAAATAATGTTGAATATTAACGAGTTGAAAAGAAGTATCAAAATTGTAATAATTAACTATAGGTTTGAAAAATAACCCTAATGATTATGAGCTATTAAACTTATAGAAATAAAATAGTACGAGCATCAAGCTCTGTTACAAGAATAAAAATTTAAAAATTTAAGATTGCTACCACTTAGAACAAAGAAAAAGTATTAATCTGTAAAATGAAATTACCAAAATTACTTACAAATGTATCAAATATGTTTCAGGGAATTAGATGATCTTTATGGTTTACTTAATAATTATAATTAATTGGTTCACTTTAGAGAGTTTTTAGAAATGTTACTTCTTCAAAATTATCAACAGAATGTCAATACTTTCTGAGATACCTGGTAAAATAACTTTTGAATCCCAGAAGGAGCTAACATCAACAAGAAGGTGACATTGTATGTAACAACTTACCGGTATCTGATTGGTCTGCACATTACAGCCAAACAGAATTTACTTAAAAATGCTTTTGCTAACAAAAAGATTATGATTCATGAAAAAGTTTATTAGAAAAAATTGACATTCTACAATAAACAATAGCAAATTAAATTATGAATAGCAAATTCTAGAAAGTAATAAAAAGAATAAAAATAATACTAAAAAACTAAACATATTTTTAAACAACTTGTATCTCACTGAGTTTAAAGTCCAATGTAAATGAAAGTAGAACCATTCTCTACTTATATCGTACATAATTACATCAAAAGAATCAAAGTTACTCAATACAATCATAATCAAAATTAAACTAGTGAATAATAAAAATGGAATGTCCATTAAATATACATGTTAAAACCTTAATTAAAGTTTATTTGCCTTTATTTCCTGAAAAAGATTCATAAATATAATATATTATACTTCTTGAGTAATATTATACAAGATTATGTAATGAGTATATAACCTGCTGTAAGAACAACAAAACAAAAGAAAAATACAGAAAAATTACGTTGACATTTCCTTGAAATAAAGGGTATGCTTATTGTTGTAATTTATTTAAAAAAATCTACATTAGTAAAGATATAAGTTTCAAAGAATACGCAAACCCACTGCTATTGTCTTCAAATTAAACAACTGTCATGCATAAAATATAAAATGTTTGTATCATAGTTTGGGGACCTTTCTGTTGAAAAAACGTCAGAGTTAAATCCTATACATATACATGCACAGTGCGTTAACTGGAGTGCAGATATTAGTTACCCGCACTCCAGAGCACGCCCATTGATTGGCTCATTTTTTCTGGAGTTTACTTAATGTGATGAAAGAGAAAGGAAAAGCGACAGAAATATCATATTCAGATGCTCATTCATTGGTTGCTTTTTTCTGGGGTTTCATATTGTGACAACAGGGAACGTGTTTTTATGTTTGCCTATGATACAAAAGAGAAAGAACACAAAAACACTCGGCAATCTCATAAGTACTCGGGGGGGGGGGGGGGCTACGGTCCCTCGTACAAATCAGATAGCCTCGTGTTTAAATGCTCTTTCTATTACATAACTTTGGTCAAGAGATGGATCCGTTCGAGTAATGGAATCAAGAGGCTTAGAACATTAAGAATTTATTTCTGTTATATTACAAATTTAGTATTGAATAAATATAACCATTAATTGGTATTATTAGAAGTCAAGAATAAAACAATATATATAGAAGAAATACAAGAACAAATAACATAACAAGCACCGAAACACAACATGTAGCAATGGACAACTATATGTATATATTGTATATTTAAAAAGTCACAAAAAAATTGGCCAGATGCAGCCGCGTTCAAATAAAAACTAAGATTGTACAAGTATTTTCTTATAATATACAGTTTTGTAAACTCTGCATTAAATGTTGAAAAACGAGGAATACTATACCATATTGATTTGATTAAAGTTGCAAGGAAACATAAATGTGGTGAATTTATGTTTGAACTATAGATGTGCAGCAAATTTAGCGTTAAAATTAAAATACATCTAATACCAATTTGTTTTAAGACGTTAATAAAGTCAATACCTTCCATTTTTTCAGTTGTTCCAGGAGATCATAAGAATAACAACGTGCCGCATCGCAAAATAACATCAAAATGTCTATCCAATGACCTAGCTTTTACTGCTCTGATTGTAACGCATAACATAAATGTATGATCTCTACAGTATGTTAAAATTTGTTGACGAACACAAAATAAACCGATTCCTATTACACTTCTTACAATAAACAAAACACAAAACATATACAAAAAGAATATCGTACAAAAAAATCAAAAGAACGCAAAAACGTCCGAAGGAAACAATATAATTAAATAAAAATATGAAAAACAAGATCAATAAGGAAGGGCGGTGTCAATGAACGCACCTCCACACGATCCAGTAACAAGAACCCCCGAACAAGGAGGACCCCCGCCCCCGTTACGAAATGGTTAGGGCAATCACATAACTGATACTTAAAAGGAAATAATAGTAACCGACAAGAAAATCAAAGAAAACAAATAACTGATTGTTAAATAGAAATCTAGAAACAAGGTGATCCCTCGGGAGCATTAATCACAACAAAATTACAAGACAATTGCAGACTCGGTTTGATTGAGTCTGTACATGAGGAAAAATTAATACGTGCAATATCCCTCACGCCCACAGGCCCACAAAGTAAAAGGGCTCGGGGAAGGCGACTCGAGATTCGGGAAAGGGCGGGACAAAATTAAAAATATAAAACTAGGGACAAAAGGGAAGATACTTACCATAGACGAGAAAACAACATGACGGATAATTATAAGACATAAGATATATAAGGTTCATATCAAAAGAAGCACAAAGTTGTAAGTATATCATAAACATATAAAATTGTTCAATATATAATATTGTATATATAAACTGCATGAAAACATAAACACTTTATTTCTGAAAAAAAAAACTAAAAGTAAATATATAAACTTTTAATATGCCTAGCATAAAACACATCTATTAATTAGTCATAGCCTCAAATTAATTGACTAACAAGCTTATTGTTTTGCTAAATAAATTTGTACATAATCATTTTTTGATTGAAGAAATGTATGAGAAAACACTAAAACTATAATTATGCTTTAAAATAATATTCCATAATCAAATGAAATCAAAACTGAAAAATCTATATACGTGAACGCATTTATGAACGCATTTGTACATGTCACTAACGAAAACAATTCTAAAGTAAATGAACAAACTTGCATTGAAACAAAAGCTTAAAACTCACTTGTACGCGAGCACACAGTGTCTATTTTAGGATTCGGAAAACAAGGGGGAATTTTATCAAAAAGTGAGAAATTATTACATTTGTTGATCTTTTTCCTTCTTTCTCTATGTAAAAATTTCCCCCTGTTTCTGAAAAAAGGGGGGATTCTCAAAATTTCTTTTTTAAATATGAGTGAATCCCCCCTCCTTGAATAGAAACCAAAACATTTAAAACTAGGTCAATCATGTGAAATTAAATATTCGCAACGCAGAGTGAACACGTGAATGTAGCCCGGTCTTGTCGTGTGGTAACACCGTATGAGCGTATAGCAAAGCGATTGTGGTTGATTCCATAACTTGTGCTATTCAGCTGTCACGGCTCAGAAATGTTCACTTTTTAGGGGAGAAGATGTGTAAGTGGCCGGATAACTCAGTCGAAAGAGCCGCGGTACGGTATTCCGAGGGTCCCGGTTTCGAGTCCTGGTCCGGCTGCACATTTTTCTCACCCTGTGACACAGCCCTCGTGAAATTACTTACATATCTCTACAATATTCTGTTTATTAGATTGTGCATGTTCATGCTGTTTAGGTCGGACCTCTAGAGAAATGTTGTTCATTACATGCCTTGAAATCACAGTAATCCCCCATTCGTGAACTAACAACAATCCCTTAAGTGCAATATGTGTCGATCAAGATTGCATCGGGGCGCCAGCTGTTCATGTATTGTCATGTTTAATTTCATTTCATTCGCAAATTATTGAAGTCTTGGCTACTTAAATACAAACTGAATCTTCCACATCCTAGTTAGAAGGGTTTTCTTCTTTAAAGAGGGTAAATTTGTTCCCTGTCTGTTCTTCAAGTTGTTTGATTCCTTTATCCAACGGAAGAGCTATGTATGTAGTTTTTGAATTTGCACCCATGAGCATCGCGTATGCCTTCACATGTTCATCGTCGGGGTCATCAGAACAAATGATTACCCCACTATCTCCTTCTTCTGCAAAAGGTTTTACCTCAGCACCTGGATAACTTTCCTCATTTTGTATTTGAACAAGGCTGGCATTCATTCCCTCAATGATGTAATTGGTATCTGTAATAATTCCCTTTCCGGGTTGGGATTTCGATCCCCAGACATGAACTTTTATTCCGGACATTGTTGCATGTTTAGCCTCAATGTTTTCAATAAGTTTTCCGCGCCGTAGATTACCAACGGAATCTTTTAATTTTCTGTCGTCATTATCAATCTTCACAAAAACCTCAGCCGCTGCTATATCAAGCGACCCATGTTCTTGTGTGGTTGTACTTTCAATGACACTGGCAATCCTTCTTTCTGGTCCGTTTTCGACAAGAAAAACGTCAGAACAGTGCGACACAACATGTTTTGAAACAAGTATGCAGTCTGTCCTCGAACTCTTTGCTTTCATTTCTGCTATACATCCAAGACAACCTGACTTGTTGATGTTTTGATTTTCGTTTCGAGCTATAATTTTTGACCCAGCAAACATTAGCTCCTTCATTTCCGGATAAACGATTGATGTACTATAATTTGTAATATTTTGATCGCTCATAAAATCTGCAATTATTTGTTCACGTTCTTTCATTTCATTCTTATCTTTTATTTCTTCAAGATAAACGTGTACCTTTTGGAAACGGTAGCCTACGGCCTTTATCGTTGGACAAGTTTCAAAAAGTGCCTTTCTTACCTAAAATAGGGGTTTAAAAAAGATGGCATAAATAAACTGTGCATAAACGTATATTGGTATTAAAGCTAAAATTATGTTTCATTCATTTTCGGAACAAGCATATGATCACATTTAAAAGAATAAAGACTTTTATTTTATAAATCTAAATCAAATCATTTTCCAATGTACTAAATGTTTTTACACCGGAAGAATGTAGCATTTCCGGAAAAGTATTGCATTTTACAGACCTACCTTTTCTGAAATAGGTCCAGTGACACTCTTTTGTTGAGGTATTTTCTGCGCTGGTATATGACTTGAATTTAACAACGCCATAATTTCTTCTAGCAGTTGTTCAATCGTTTTTCTTGGTATAGGTGTTTCAAATTTGGAAATCATCTGCTTATCTATAAAAGTCAGAACTGAAAACGTACTACATTTATTCCTTGACTGCAAAATTTAGAATAGAAATAAGGATCATTACATCGTTTGTTGTACGTGATTTCGTATTTTTTTCCATTAGCTAAAATAAGACAGGTTCGTGAATGGCGTAAATGATATATTTACTGTGAAAATTATAATAGCATCTCGTTGCCTTTGAAAAAAGTAATGTAGGATCTCATAGTCTGTGAAGATTATAATTCAGATTATGCTATTATCCCCGTATCTGTCAAAATTAAAAAAAAACAGATATAAGAATGTGTCCATGTAAACTTTTTCACGCACATTTCTTTTCAATTTAAGAAATAGATTATTACGTGTTGGCCACTTTGAAAAGTTGATATCATCACAAATTTGTGTTTAATTTCAATTTGTATATTTACAATATTACTTAATTTGTATAATTTACACACAAAAAAAAAACAAATTTGAATGCCCTGCTATCTGGATAATGTTTCACATATTAAATCCTGATTTCAAAGTTTAGTTGTCAAAAAAAAAATTGTGACCGGAAAATAATTTTGTAATATTTTAAGCAGTCATTGTATCCATGTAATTAAATTGAATTATTTTACAGAAACAAATATATCTAACGATAATGCCATTTTGTGACTATTATCAGTCTCCTACATGTTTAACCGGGGCGGATTTAGGTTCACCCCCAATCCGTCCATTTGTCCGTCCGTTAATCTGTTTGTCAGTCAGTACGGCCGTCCTTCCAAAAAACTAGACCCCGTGGTAACAATAAGTCCTGAAATTTGACCTATGGGTAGATGGCAGCCTGGAGATTATGCACATCTTCTTTTTTTTCATATGATAGAGTGACTTGGAACTATTCCAACAAATTTACTTGAACTAGAGAAAAGTTGAAACATTAGTTATACATATTCATTCTGGGAAAATTGGATCCGTCGTTTACTTGTTGTCTAAGCATAATTTCCTTAACTTAACACCAGACTATGATACAGGCAAACTCAGAACTTAAAAGATTTAAGTTCATACATGTCTTCCACAATGGCATAATTGAATGGTCATGGCCCTTCATAATGTACATTTTGTATTTGTTGTTCTAAATGGTAGGGGACTTTTGTATTACTTTGATAATTGCTTATTCCAATTAGTATTTTGTTTTAATTTTTAATCATGTTAACACATCTAAATTTAAAAAAAAAATATATATATATATAGCAGGGTCATATTTTCGTATGACAGTATTATGAAACTTGTCAGCCCTTTCCGGTATTTTATTTCTTTAGGTTTTGATAAGTTCTTGCTTGTCTTTTATTTTCTTGTTTTCTGTGTGATCTCGCGAGAGTTTGGCGGGAATGTTGTGCAGGTTTTGAAAAGAGTTTAGGGGGCAGGGGACATATTCGAATGATGGCCCCGGTCAAATTTTTTAATAACTCAGACATGGTGTTTTGAAGGTACTGATAACTTCTGATGTTTCTCTGTCATTGTAATTCTTTCTTGTTGGTGTGTAGGAAATGAGATATATTTTTGGGTTTTTACCCGAAACTAAGCATTTTGGTAGCCTTGTATGTATTTCTGACTCTCCGAATGGAGGTGAAAAAGTTAAAAATCAAGCTTTGACAGTTGGCGCCAAACAAGTAAGAAATTTCAGATAAATTTTGTGAAAAATCTAAACGTATGACAGACACTTTATTTGTCATTTCTGAAAATGCCATAGCTTGCACTGCGTGTTACTGATATTTTTAAAGGAATCGGGCGGATTCTGGAGTATGCTGCACCTTCATGAAGATTGCCCATATTGGTATATTTTAGGTGTGATTTTGGCTGGGTGGGGGTAAATATAAATTGCTGTCAGTCATTTTTTGAAGGAGCAATGCATGCAAACTATTATTTTCTTCAATGTATGTCATATACCATTGAATAATGCTGTGCAACTGGTTATCTGCCTGTGAAACAGATTTTGAAATATTTGGAATTGTGTTTCTGGTCACACTGAAATACAAAATTTTTCATTTTTAGGTCCCCTGCCCCCTTACATGGTTGATGTAGAGAACATTCTGTTAATTTTAACTCGTTAATATGATTTACATTTGGTTGAGCTATCCAAGTGTTTGTGAGAAGTATTTAAGGTAGTTTTGTGATGGCTGAAATGATTATTTATTATTCGGTTTATTTGCAATGTTGTATTTTACAGCGCGTTGAATGTTCCAAAATGGCGGTCATTTACTTTCTCTTTCAATTCAATTCTATTTTTTTTTATAACCAGCATGTATTATATGTTTTAATCTTGTTCACAGTTAACCATCACGTGAGACAGGATGTATGTGATGTGAAGTGGAGTGATATAAATTGTAACATTGTATTGTGGAATAGGCTTAAGATCCCTTAGATCTGTAAGTATAAGAGTATGTTGGTATTTATACCTTTTGTAATATTGTAAACCATATACATGTAATGTTTAACTGGTAAGACATAAGAGTACAAATGCTTTAATCATTTAGTGATCTTAATGTCTATAGTAATAAGATGTTTATTAAATGCTATGTTTATTGATTGTATATATTATAATATATGTGCAAACATTGTTATTATTATGTCATTTCAGTGCCTTGATTAAAGTTGACTTCAATAGAGAAGATATATTGTATATTTATGAGTTTGACTGTATATGTAGATTGGAAACAATAAATGAATTACCACAACTACCCTGTGTTATAACACCATGTGTTACATATATTTATATATTATATTTATTTATTTAACTTATTTTCGATAAACATACCTTCAACGTTTTCATCAAGACTGCAGTCCAACAAATCCTGTAAAATCTTGTAGTATTCCATCAACGGTTTGTACGCTTCATGTTCCAAATAATCATCAATATCACTGGCGAGTGATTCTGCTGTAGTAACTACAGAGACCTCCTCTGAATTAAGAAGATTTTTGACTTCCTGTGCATGCTTTTGTGAACGCACGACATAAATTTCAAAACGTTTACTAGTATTTAATACTAATTTTAAGATATCTTCTTTTTCCATAGTAGTAAGTATAGCAATTTTCAAACACTCTTTGTTCTTTTGATGAAAATCGTCTATCAATTCAACTATTTTGCTTGAATTTCGTTTTACAATTTTTTCAGTTGTGAAAGTGTCATTTTCGTCCATTTTTCTGTATATAGAAATGATAACTGAATCAGTTTTACTGCAGTGACGGTCTTTTTCAACAGTAATTCCAGCCTGTTTCATCAATCTATTGAATCTTGCTTCTATCCCAGGAGTATTTCTTGAAGCGAAAGACAGTCGCGGAAAACAGTCCTTAGGAACTTGAAATTTTGTAACCGCCATTGAATCCATACACAAAAAGTATTTTCAATTTGTTGAATCTTCAATGTGAATACATTATGAAATCAATTTTCAACAACTTATATACTTAAGTAATCAAATCTATTTTTATTATCATTTTTATGATTAATAATTATCTACTACAAAGTATGTTCACATTACAATTTATCTAATCATAATTGATTTTCTGCGCGTTGTAACATCCTATCATATTGTTATCATTTAAGGGTTTTAACTAAATGATAAAATACTTTAGAATTTGCTTATTTCGATGACAAATAAAAAATATGAGAAACAAAGATGAACATGGAAGAGCAGTGTTGCAACGTATAAAATTTACGAAGTGTTTATACCTAACCCATGAGCTGTATAAGTTGGTTGAAAACGCATACAACTGATGGTGAGCTGTATTCGTAAGTTGACAAATTATACGGCTTACGAATTATACAACTTACGTCAGCTGAAAACATTAGATATATTTTTCATTTTTAGTGGGGATGTGAGAAAATGTCTCTTTACGTCTCAATTTTATTTTAACTTTAACAAAAATATTGTTTGATCAATATGAGAAAATACCCTCAATGTTTTGGCCGTCGAACCGTTGAAGTTGTAGTCGACAAAGCCGTAGACATCAAAGTTTTAGCAAGGCGTAATTGTATTCGTAGAAGTCATAATCTCACTTGAAATCGTAAAATTCTCAATCAAGATCGTAGTTGTCGTAACTATAGTCGTGGTCTTAGATGACGGTGTAGTCGTGATCGTATTCTAGGTGGTAAGACCCTTGTGGTGGTTATCGTCAACTAACCTGTAATCGTAAGTGTAATTCTTTAAGTCGTTGTTATTGCTTTAGTCGTGGTCGTAGCATAAAGTCGTAACAGTCATAGTCGTAAAAGAGTAGTAGAAACCGTACGCTTAAAAGTCTAAAAGTAAGTTGTAGCTATACATGATCGTTGTCGTCCTAGATAACGAGTTTTAGTTGTAAAAAACCATGGTCATGGTCGTGTTGTCAGCGCAGTCATTAAATGTTAGATCGTTTTCGTGGCCGTATATGTCTACATTGTCGTTTTAATTTGTTCAAAATCGTGTCCGAAAGTCGAAGACGCAACAAAACGACAAATATAGGGCGCCGATACGTCGATCCCTACCCGCCGACACGAAATTTCTACAAAAGAAAAGCTCGAGTATTCGCCTATTAAAATATCGTTATATCGTTTAGAATAATATCGTGTATTTGCGTCGGTGCATCTCAAAAGTCGAAAAGGAGATACGAAAACATGAATTGGCAGAAATCAATCACCACTTGAATTATACGGATACATTTTTCTTCAGATAAAATTATATATCTGTACTTCAATTGCGAAATTTTAACATATACACGATTAATCTGATACCTGAAGTGCCCGTATGATTTAACAAAATGACTGCTTTTTTACCTACGCAGTTCTTTTCTTCCACTCCAATAATTTTATCAATTAAGTGAGATTACATCTATTTTCGTAACATCGTACGATGTGAAACATATAATGCATTTGCTTATAAATGTAGTTCAAAGGGCGTCCGTGGTCGAATAAAGTCGTTGAGTAAGTTTAATGATTTTGGACCTCAGTGGAGAAATGAAATACTGTAGCTGATTTGAACACTTTCTAAACTGCTTCCTTGTCTCAGCGGTAATGGTTTCACATGAGGAAACATTACCGTGATCCCAGAAAGGTTTGAACACATAAAGACAGACAGCGAATAATTTAGGCCTATTCTGTCACTCAACCAGAAATTGTATCATAGTTTGGGGACCTTTCTGTTAAATGTGTATCGTATACATATACATGCACAGTGCGTTGACTGGAGTGCAGGTATTAGTTACCCGCACTTCAGAGCATGCCCATTGATTGGCTCATTTTTGCTGGGGTTAACTTATTGTGACGGAAGAGAAAGGGAAAGCGACAGAAATATCATACTCAGATGCTCGTTCATTGGTTACTTTTTCCCGGGGTTTCATATCATGAAACAGGGAACGTGTTTTTATGTTTGACTATGATACAAAAGAGAAAGAACATCAAAACACTCGGCTATCTGATTAATACTCGGGGGCTACGCCCCCTCGTACAAATCAGATAGCCTCGTGTTTCGATGCTCTTTCTATAACATAATAAACTCTCAGTGTATCACAATTGCATCTTCTCGGCACTTTCCATCAAATTTTGAACACAATTTTGAGAATACATGATGTACACGGAACGGACTAACCTACACTAAGAAACTAAACGTGTTAACAAACAGTAATTTTATGCTGGTATTTCGCCTGAACATAGTAAATTTATAGACAAAATACTGAACAGAACACTATTTACATGTATATACTAAATATAATGGTTGTGGAAACGGAAAGTACACAATGTTCTAACTTTTGACATTTATTCGGAATTGGTTATAATTATATGGTATTTATAATTTGATTATGATTGTCAGACATGATAATCTTTATCACATTGCCGTGTCGCTTTTGCACGGCCATGCATATATTTTGACGTGACATCATTTGCGTTACAAACATAGCGTTATGACGCGCTAAAAACTATGAGCTGTTACTGTTAGCTTTATAGTATGAATGAAAAATGAAAAATATTACTTTTTCACTTTGAACAGTTTTTATTTTGGGTATGTGATAAATAGAATTTAATCTTATTAATTTTATTCAGATTGTTCAATAAATTCAGTATTAAACTACATGTGTGAAGTTGGCGGCCTGGCGGCCCAGCGGCCTGGCGGCGTGAAGTTGGCGGCCAAGCGGTTGGCGGCGTGGCGGCCCAGCGACTGGCGGCCAAAAATTTTAATGTTGCAGAAATGTTATATAAACAATAAACCGGCATTTAATGAAGTTCTAAAGACAATTTTTATTATTTAAAGGATATATAAAAAGAAAAAATCACTGAGATTTTTTTTGGCGGCCCAGCGGCTGGCGGCCAAAAATTTTAATGTTGCAGAAATGTTATTTAAACACTAAAACTGCATTTAATTAAGTTCTAAAGACAATTCTTATTATTTTAAGGATGTATAAAAAGAAAAAATCACTGAGATTTTTTTTATTGTATCATTTTTGTAAAGTTGGCGGCCCAGCGGCTGGCGGCCAAAAATTTTAATGTTGCAGAAATATTATTTCACTAAAACGGCATTTAATGAAGTTCTAAAGACAATTCTTATTATTTAAAGGATATATAAACAGAAAAAAATCACTTTGAGATTTTTTTCATTTTATCTTGTTTATGAAGTTGGCGGGTTGTAGTAGGGGTACAGGGGCAGATAGGGGCGGGGTGTCCAAACACCGACACTGTTACCTGTGCCAACGAAGGGTCAACTTTTTTTCCTATTTTTCTTTAACATTACTTTTTTGTATCTCTCATACCCCATGTCGAAAGAAACAGTGTTCAATTCTAATTAAATAATTAATATAGGTATTTATTGGCTAAATAACGCTAAACTTTATGACAAATTTAATAAAAACTACACTGTTAAAGTATTTAATATTTTACCAACAAAAATACTTTTCGAAAAATTATTGAAACTTTGAAAACAGCCCCTAATTTTGGTAATTTTTAGCGATTTTTCAAATTACACGTGTTTAACATTGATGGGGTAGGGTATCTTTTTTTATACATATTTCATAATTTTTGAGTATAAAGAATCATTTTTGCTTGTGTGTATTGTTAGCTGAATGTTATTATTTGTTTCTTAACAATAATTAATCAGAAAACATTTTTCATAAGGACGATACTGTAGATTATTTAAAGGTTCCTTATTTCTGAAAAAAGCGCCCCAAAACTAGATGTCCGACCGTTTAAATTTTGAAGGCATGTGCCCTTTACTGTATGGTACATATCTTTCCTTTGTTGTCATTTTTAGCTCACCTGAGCACAAAGTGCTCAAGGGTGAGCTTTTGTCATCACTCTGCGTCCGTCGTGCGTCGTGCGTCCGTGCGTCGTGCGTCCTTCAAAAAATGACGTCAAACTTTTCAAACAACATCTCCTCCTAAACCACATGGCCAATTGCAACCAAACTTTACAGAAATGATCCTTAGGTGGACACCTTTCAAAGTTGTTCAAAAATTTAAATTCCATTAAAAACTCTGGTTGCCATGGCAACCAATAGGAAAAACTTAAAAAATCTTCTTTTAAAGAACTCAAAGAGCTAGAGCTAAGATATTTAGCAAGAAACATGTTCTAATGGGTGTCTACCAAGTTTGTTCAAATAAAAGCCCTGGGGTCAAAATTGGCCCCGCTCCAGGGGGTCATTGATTTTCCTTATATGCGTATAGTAAAAACTTAAAAAATCTTCTTTTAAAGAACTCAAAGAGCTAGAGCTAAGATATTTAGCATGAAACATGTTCTAATGGGTGTCTACCATGTTTGTTCAAATAAAAGCCCTGGGGTTTAAACTGGCCCCGCTCCGGGTGCCTTTATACAGGTGAGCGACCTCAGGGCCATCATGGCCCTCTTGTTTCAGTTCATTATGGTGCCCATTCGAGTGGTCATTGTGTGTGTATTTGCTTTTATTTATACTCGCCACCGGTTGCTCATATGGGCGAGTCCTTCAGAAGAGTATTAGTCATTTTAGATTTTGGAGGATAGTGCAATTACAGAACAGAAAGACGCCACAATTCCAGAAGCTTCTCCTGGATCTTTAACGTGCCAAGTGTTTAAGCACCCATACACGGGACCTCAATTTAAAGTCTAATCCGAAAGACTGAATAGTAATTTTAGTTGGCCAGCCTGGGAATCGAACCCACCATGCCGAGAGCTCTAACCGATTGAGCTGTGCGGGCTGGTTCGGGTGGTTATACCTTAAATGTTATGTTAAATACTTAAATGGGTGACGTCAATGCTATTGTTTACAGAAGATGTTATGTAATCATTTAATACAATTTATCACATAAACCGCGGCGCAGGAGTGTAATAAAGCCATTTAATTAAAACGATATTAATAATATCTGTCATATGTTGCGGTTCGGACCGGAATATCCGTCCCGAGGGGACCCGCCCATTGGGCGGTAACGAGGCTTGCCGAGGGACGGATATTCCGATCCGAACCGCAAACATATGAAAG